GGGGCCGGCCCCTAACCCTCCCCCCCACCTTCTCTGCAGGATTCTCGGCTTCCCCCTCCACTACACGGACGTCTCCAACCTCAGCCGCGGGGCTCGCCAGAAGCTGCTGGGGAGGTCGTGGAGCGTCCCCGTCATCCAGCACCTCTTTTCCCCACTCAAGGATTACTTCGCCTGCGAGTAGCGGCCGAGCGCCCCTCGTCTCTCCGGTAAAGGTGCACAGCTCCGCTGCCAGGGCGGGATTGGGACGGGCACGGACCCTGCCACGGCCCCAGCCCTCCCCGGGCGTCCCCGCGCTGCGGGAGGGCAGCCTGGCCCCGCAGGGAGAGCCGAGGAAATGTCTTTAACCAAAGAACCTGGCAGGGTCACTTTTCCATAACGGGACTAACGGCAGTGATACGCAGAGAATGATGGACAGAGAACGAGAGCTGTAATTCCCTGACCCGGCGCAGGGAGCTCTGTGCATAGCTGACGAGAGCATTAAGTCTTCCGTTTTAGCCCAGAGCTGGGGAGTAGCAGCTCAGCCAGACTTGAACTACAGCGAATCACTGCTTTTCCAACCCAACCCAACCCAAACCTCGCTGCAAGCCGCTGCCAAAACCCCCCCAAACCGCAGCAGCAGGCGTGAGGGACCTTGGTCAGGTTACGTACACTGAACATGCAGCATACAGAAACCAAATCTCTTTTATTTTTATTTTTAAGACTTTTTGGATAAACTTTTTGATTTTGGTGTTTAACGTCTATTGCTGCTTTAAGGCATTACATAAGAATGTGGAGATTCCTAGACCTGAATGTAGCTGAAACTGAACTGTGAGGTGATAGAATTTACTTTGCTAGCTAGAACTAAAGAAATACTGGTTTAGATGTTTGGCTGTAGTTTACAAATACTCACTACTTCCTTTTTAAGCCACCTAAAACTTTTCCTTACGTTCAAAACCCTGCTGAGCTCGCACAGCAACAGAGCAGGGAGGATTTGGGCTCCAGTGTCCGTAAAGGAAAATGTTCTCAGCCTTCAATTCCCAGATGAACGCGGTGCCCGGCAGGAAGGACAGCGGAGCGCTCAGTGTCCAGGTGTTCCAAATACAGCCCCACAATGTCACGTACGGCATCACGAGCCCCAGCAGTATTGGCATTGCGTTAGCGGTGGTGCAGGGGGGTCCTTGCAGGGAAGATCCCCCCCCAGCCCCATCCTGGTTGGGGGGTCTGGGAGTGCAGCACTGGCCCCGTCCTGCACTGCTTTGGGGAGCTGACCCCCATGGTGGGGAGGGCAAGGTCTGGGGGGCTCCCGGGGCTGTACCCCCAAGCCAGGAGCTCCTGCAGCCGCTGCTGTGCTCAGGTTTGCTTGCCCTGCTCCTGACGTGGTCATCTCGCTGTTGTGAAGAGCCCGTCCCGCTCCCCCGGGTTTTCGGTAGCCGTGGGGCTGCTGTCCTGGCTGGTGTCTGCGGGGACTCTGGACTCCCAATGCACATTTCAATGCACTGAAACAACTCGTGACGCTCCCCCTCCGTCCTCCCCTGCCTCTGCCCTTCACCACAGCGTCCTTCACCTTCTCAACATGGATGGGGTGCAGCCTCTGGCCTGACTCCCGGCTTTCATGAAATGTACGGCATCAATGGAAACGCCAGCTGCTCTCCGGCCACTTCTACCTCTGACACACGGGGACCCCCTTGCACCCCTGTTGCAGCCTCCTGTGCAGCTCTGCACCCCATCCCCAGCCTCCAGGGCCATCTCTCGCTCTACAACCCAAGGCTGCACCCAGGACTGGGCAGGAGGGGAACCCCAGCTGATTTTAGAGTTCTTACTCCTGCATCCTGCCCAGAGGTTGCTCTTTAAAGTCTCCCCATAGGGGCTCAAGCCATGCATCTTGGTTAAGAAAATGCTGGAGGAAGCCAAGAGGTCTCTGCATCACCACAGGCATCTGCAAGGGCTCAGGGACAATGTCACCCTCTCGCCACCTTTGTCACCAGGAGGGTGGCAGGGTGGGTTCTGCGGGGGCTGGAAGTGTGCGGCATGGCCACCACTGCCCCCGTGGGTTTTGGACCCCTCGCCAACACTAATTCCTCTGCCCAGCCTGGGTGCAGTCCCCGTGCGGACCCTGAGGCGGGGGTGATGGCCGTCCCCTGCCTTGGGGACCCCTCTGACTCACACATAACCTCTCCGTGGCATCTCTGACTCCGTACTCCCCATCTCACATCCCTTCCTATCTGATCAAAAGAAACAGGGGAAAAAAAAAAGGACTTGGGGAAAGTCAACAAAGATGAAAGAGCAATGAGAATTGTCTTGGCATTAAGCTTACTTGATCAGAATTGTAGTCGACAAGTCTTCCTTGCGATGTTTTTCCCTGTACGAGCTGCCTTTTATGCTGTGTTTATAAAAATGTCGGAAGGAGAGGTAGATTTCAGAAACGCCTTTTGAATGCTGTGTAAAGGTTTCTAACTCTCCCTGGTGCTATTATTTTTTTAGGTTAAGGATTTTTGATGTCGAAAGTCTTGCGGGTTTTTATACAATCTTTAATAAAATAAAAGGACATTGTTTTGTTGAACACGTTTCATGCGCTTTTTGTATGGGGAGTGTGAAAACTCAACTGTGCCTTGTCCACAACGATTTGCCAATTTTCCTGTGGGAAAGAAAGGGGATCCGTGTCAACAGTTTATGATATATTACCGTCTTAATTAAAAATCAGTATTTCTGTGTGACCAAACCGTCCTTATTTGATCAATTCACCGTGTGAAGGAGGAGGGGTTTTACAGAGGGATGGGCTCTGCAGATGGGCCGGGCTGCCCCTGCCCCCGTCGCCCAGCGAGGCGACAGCGGCCTAGGGGATCCAGACCAAGGCAGCCGGGCCCGGGATGGCTGTGGCGGGGGACTGGGCCGGGGCCGGTCCCGGTGCTGTCTGCAGATGCCTCGGCGCC